TCACGTGCCCAGGTCTTGAGGATGTCTCGAGCGAGACGCTTGGTTTCACGCCTCCAGGTTGCCCAGGCAGAGGTCCAGCGCCAGGATTTGTTGAGGATGTCTCGAGCGAGACGCTTGGTTTCACGCGTCCTCGTCGCCCAGGCGGATGTCTAGAATGAGGAGGTGTTGAGGAAGTCTCGATCGAGATGCTTGTTTGCACGTGTCCAGGTTGCCCAGGCGGATGCCTAGCATGAGGATGTGTTGAGAATGTCTCGAGAGATACGCTTGTTTTCACGTGTCCAGGTCGCCCAGGCGGATGTCTAACATGAAGATGTGTTGAGGATGTCTCGAGTGAGACGTTTGCTTCCACGTGTACAGGTCGCCAAGGCGGATGTCTAGGATGAGGAGGTGTTGAAAACGTCTCGAGCGAAACGCTTGTTTTCACGTGCGCAGGTCACCCAGGCGGACGTCTCACATGAAGATGTGCTGAGGATGTCTCGAGCGAACTACTTGTTTTCACGTGTCCAGTTCGCCCAGGCGGATGCCTAGCATGAGAATGTGTTGAGGATGTGTTGAGCGAAACGTTTGTTTTCATGTGTCCAGGTCGCTCGGGCGGTTGTCTAGAATGAGGATTTTGACAGGATGTCTCGAGCGAAACGCTTGTCCCCAGCACGTTCCGTAGCGCGTCCACTTGGCACGTCCCGCGGTGCGTCCCCATGGCACGTCCCCTGGCATGTCGCCTGGCGCGTCCCTTGAGACGTTCCGCGGCGCGTCCTCCTGGCATGCCCCCCTGTCAATTAGCTCTGCGGCAGATACTATGTGTTCAGGCAGCTCGAGCTTAAGATCCAGATCAGTTCGGTCAGGACTCGGATGCAAAGGAGGACTCGATCCACGACGCTATAGAGCACAACCGCGGCATGGCACATCGCAATTCAGCACGGTGCAGCACAGCACAGATTTCGGCACGGTACATCAAGATCGATACACTCAGCATTGCAACTTGGCACGTTCCTTGGCACGTTCCGTGGGGCGTCCCTTGGCGAGTCCCCCTGGCACGTCGCGTGGCGCGTCCCCTGGCACATTCCGTGGCACATCCATTGGCACGTTCCGTAGCGCGTCCCTTTGGCACGTCCTACGGTGCGACCCCATGGCACGTCCCCTGGCACGTCGCCTGGCGCGTCCCTTGGGACGTTTCGCGGCGCGTCCTCCTGGCATGCCCCCTTGTCAATTAGCTCTGGGGCAGCTACGATGTGTTCAGGCAGCTCGAGCTTAAGATCCAGATCAGTTCGGTCAGGACTCGGATGCAAAGGAGGACTCGATCCACGACGCTATAGAGCACAACCGCGGCATGGCACATCGCAATTCAGCACGGTGCAGCACAGCACAGATTTCGGCACCGTACATCAAGATCGATACAATCAGCATTGCACTTGCCCGTCACCCAATCCGGTGTCTTTGAAAACGCTGCCATGCGTCACATTTCTATATTCCTTTCCGGGTTCGTGGGTCGATCATGTTTGACCCTGATCCCGCCGATCTGCATGTGGCAAATCCCTTGTGCGTTTGAACCCTGACCCTGCAGATCTGCGTGAGGGGTGTCAATTTGCACCCTCCCAGAAATTCCGAGAACCCTCCCAGGGCGTGGTAGTTCTGCTGGTTTCGGCTCCCCCCTCCCTCGCGCGTTCATCAACAAGGAACAGTAAGCAGCAAAAAGCAGAACTGTAACACTGGAAACTGGAAGCTGCAACTGGCACAGGGAACCGCACACTGCCGACCTACAGCCTGGTGGCCCCGCAAGGGGGCCGGCGGATTTGGTTGACATGGCGGGCGCGCGATGGTTTTTTTTTTTGTTTTTGAGATGCGCGCGCGAGCGGCCCGCGTGCTTTCACCCAGCAGACTATCCAACAAGTATTTGTTTGTGGTTTCAGCGAGTATGCGCGCGTGCGGAATTCTGGCAACATGTCGCTCAACAGCGACAGCTCATTGACTGTAGTGGAACATAGATATATGCATAAACATGCATTATGCGTGGAAGGGAGACATCGCTTTTGAATGATTGTGGCATGCGCACTTGGTTCCAGACGCGGCTGTCAAATACATGCCAGCAGCGTTTATTGTTACATGAGCGCGTGGGCATCGCATATGGTTATGATGAGGGTTGGCGATGCCCGGGCCGACCCTCATATTGTGATTTGGCGTGTGTGTTAGACGGTCTAAAATAGAAAGGAAACAAGAGAAACGAGGGCTACGACTAATCCTCGATGGGGGGCTCGGTGTGGGGATATCATGCAAGACCTGGCAGACACGTCTCCTTCGCCTGGCAGACCGCGAGTCGGCCTGCGCGAGAGCGTCGGCGCTGCGCGAGTGCTGCCAAACACGCGGCCTCCCCCCTTGGCTGTCCGTTGCTGCAAATGGGATAGCGACGCGCGTCCATGCTGAGTAGTTACCGGATGGTGCTTCACTGGTGGATGCAAGCGAAGGAATGTATGCGGTGAGTTTCGCATGAGCAGCCTGCGCGCTGCAATCAATGTTGTGACAGTTATGTGCGCAAGCTTACTGGCGCAGTATATTCGGTGCGAAATATGGGGTGCAAGGTCTGTGGGCAATTCTACGCTGCGCAAGCTGCGCGGTGCACGCTGCGCGGGGCAAAGCATTATGTAATGTAAGGTCTGTGGTGCAAACATACGCGGCGCCTTCCATGTTGCGCAGCGAACGTTTGAAGAAACCAGACTCGCTAATCTCAACGCAGGAGCCAAAATCTCACCCACCAGTTCGCACATTCATGGTGCAACTCAGCCAGCGCATTGACGCTACGCCCCATTTGCAATTGCGTGATGTTGGCGAGGGGGCGACGATGGTGACGGCGACATTTGTGACGGCAGCGGAACTGATAGTTGTGGCGATATTGATGGGATGACGAGAACGACGATGACGATGACGACGATGATAACCGCGTGGGTGTTTGTGACGATGCCAATGGTGATGGCGACAGAAGTGATGGCGATGATGCTGATTGATGACGCGATGGCAATGGCGACGCCGCCCACGATGCTGGCGATGGCGTCAGCGAGGGGGGCGGGCGCGCGCGCGCGCAGGCGCCCTGCAGGTGTTTGACATAAAATTAATTCGGTTTCGCATGGTTCGCACACTTATATCCTTAAGCCAACCGTTGGGCTCGCGGCGGCTTCGACGCGCGCGCGCGGGGGCGCGCGCGCGTGGCCCGCATGGTTGAACGATTTTAACGCGTGCGCGCGCGGCCCGCATGGCCTCAATCTGTTGAGCGGCAACCGCGCGCGTTATCTTCGCGTGGTTTCACCGCGCGCGCCCGCGCGAAGCAATCCATAATTGCGGTGTCAAGCCGTGTGTGAAAGTGCATCTTGGTGACTTGATCTGGACGTGCTTGCGCTCGCGCGGCCCGCGCGTGGTTGCTTGTTGCTTAATGTTCGAACGTGCCTTACAAGGTCAAACCCGAGGCTCCGCATTGCGATCTTGGTCGAGACTGAAGGGGCATGGGTCGGAAGAGAGCCTGGGGGAGACGGTGCGAGCTCATGCGAGGCACGAAACGCAAATGCGCGGTGGGGGCTCGGGATGCGCCCGCCCCTGGCGCCCGGGAGTCACGCGACAACAGGGCCAATATTCGGTGCATGGTATCTGGTGCAATCAACGTGGTGCGATTCATTTGCGCCGTCTCAAAGTCGCCCACGTCAATGCTCGCGCAACCGTCAGTCGCCCGCCCGCCCGCGTTTTCCAGGCAAAAACTCAACTGGTCGGCGAGAACGGCAATGGCAATTCTGCTGGCGATGTGGATGGCGACGATGGAGGCGACGTCGACGACGGCGACGCAGTTGATGGCGATGAAGCGGGTTGCGATGATAGCAGCAAGCTGTCAAGCACGCCGGCGATGGTGACGACGTTGCTGGCGGCGGTGATGATGGCGGTTGTTGTTGAGAGTGCGCGGGCGAAGTGCCTGCGCGCAGAAGCTTGACCGGGGCGACGACGTCGTCGACGACGACGCGGCGGCTCTGTCAGGGAAAGCGCGCGCCCGCAGGATTCGAGCATCCCGACATACCGACATGATCTTGCATCGGAAGAGAGTTGGGAGTTCGCGCGATTTTGAACGCATGCGTGCTAAATTAGTTGGAGCGCGGCCTAGGGGGGTCGCATGGTTCCGGGGCAATTTCTGATCGCGCGCGCTGCGGACGCGAGCGCGTGGCCCGAATGGCCAAATTTGGAGGCGTCGGCAGGCGCAATGGTTGTTGAACACGCGCGTGGTCTGTTTTTTACAAAACGGCTGCACTCGCGGTCTTCTCCAGATTCCAGCGAGTGTTCGCGCGCGGAAATCCGCCAATGGTTTTTTGGCTTCTTAACCGCGCATGGGGCGCCCATGGCCTTGACAAATTTGGGCGCGCCCGCGCGGCGGCCCGCGCGCGCGCGCCGCAGCGTTTTCTCTCGGCCCCCAGGCCGCGATAAGCACGTTTCAGATCGGCTCCGCGCGCCGCGCAGTAATATTTGACAGGCGCGGTTTCATTCCAGAAAGGAACGACGAGTCGAGGCCGCGCGCGCGCCGCAAGGCGCCCCGGCTCAAGCAGCCCGGCGCCGAGAGCGGAGCTCGCCGAGCGGGCGCGCGCGACCGGGGCCCGAGGCAACGGTTGGGGAACTCGAGCGCGGCCCGCGCGTTCCGTCGCGCCGCCCGGGGGCTCCCGGGGCAGCCCGTGAATTGTCGGGCGCGGCGCAGAGACCGCGCAGGATAGACGCCTCGGTGGCGAGAGGACATGGGGCGCCAGTGGCCCAGCTACAACCGGCCGCCATCAGCGACGGCGCGGCGGCGGGCTGGCATCTGGCCGCGGCCGGGGCAGGGGGCGATCTTCGAGGCGGGCTTCGCGAAGGCGGCGCTCTTCGGCGCTCTTCAAGGCGTCGCTCTTCGCGGCGGAGGTTTTCCAGGGGCACTTCGGGCGGCGCGCTCCAAGGCGGCGCCGCCGATCTTCGAGGCGGCGCCGACGCGGGCGCCGGCGCTCCTCAAGGCGGCGCCCCATGGCGTCGCCCTCCAAGGCGGCGCACTTCAGAGCCGCGATCTCCAGGTCGATCTTCGCGGCGGCGCTCTCGGAGGCGACGCCGGCGCCGGCGGTCTTCGAGGCGGCGATCTCCGGGGCGGCGCTCGTCGCGGGGGCTCTCGAGGCGGCGCCCCTGAAGGTGGCGCTGGGGCTGGCGATCTTCGAGGCGCCGCTCATCAGGGCGGCGCTGGCGCTGGCGATCTCCCGGGCGGCAGTCGCCGTCGCCGAGGCTCGGCGACGGACGCAATGCGCGGCGACTCGAGCGCGCAGGTGGGCTCGACGGAGACGGTGGGCCCCGAGGCCAGCGAAATGTCCGAGGTAGATCTCCCGTCGACGCTTCTAGACGCCGAGAAGCTCGTCCGCGAGCCGGGGCCGCAGGGGCAAATCGACGGCCAGACCACTTAGGAAACCTGCAACGCGGTCAACGTGGAGGTCGCGGCGGAGCCCCCGTCGGCGACCGCGGACATCGGGGAGGTCGACAGCGAGTTCGGCGCGGATGCACCCCGAGGACCTAGCCGTCAATGAAGCCGCCGATGCGAACGCCATCGGCAAGGAAGACTCGCCGTGGGCGACGGACCAGTCGGAGGAAGCGGCGCGATCGTCAGAGAAGGCGAACCCGTCGGACAAGAGGGGCGCGCTCAAGAAGACAGGCGAAAACGTCAGCCGGGCCGCGTGGCAAGAGCGGGGGGGGGGATCGGCACCCGACGGTTGGGGCCCGCCGCGCACTGCGCCGCGGCCGAGGCGGAGACAGAGCGCCGCGCCGAGCAGGGCCTCGCGGCCGAGGACACAGAGGCGGCGGGAAGGCTCGGAGCTCGGAGGTCCCGAACAGCAAGGGCCCGCTCCATTGATGACTGCGGCGAATGAGAGCGCGAGGCAGGCGGGCGTCCGCGCGGCTTGCAGGGCCGCGAGGGTAGCGCCTCTACTGCGACCCGCGTGGCATACTGTCCAGGCTTCCCGCTCTGCCCTCCCCCCCCCGCGCCTTCCGCCCCCCCCGCGCCCGTCCTTCCGTTGGCCCCTGCCGTTCACGCGGTCTCGGCGGTTGCGCAGTCGCGTTGCTTCGGCGTTTAGCCCGTAGTGTCGCGCAGCGCGCGTCAGGAGCGAGTGGCTCTCGAAGCCGCGGGCGTCTGAAAGGGGGGCTGCGCGCTCCCGGCAGTCGGCGGGCTGCTAGCAAAAGTACACTGCAGCGCCCCAAGGGTTTTGGACAAGTCCGGCTCGGGGGGGGGGGGGAATGGGGGTGGTAGATTGCGAACACTATGGGGGCCAACCGTGTGATTCATGTGCTAGTGCGTTCCAGTGCTCGAACACAGGTCCCACCCACCCCTCCACAACATGTTGGCAACGCTCCTGAAACCGTCTGAACAATTACCCGCTGGACCTAGCTCTCCAGTCCCACGGGGGGCAGAGGCGCGCGGCCCCGCACGTAGTCCCATGAATCGCGCAATCGGGCATTGATTGTGACGATGACTTCGGCGACGACGGCGACGGCGACGCTGATGGCGGCTGCGGCGACGGCGGGCGCGACGACAACCGCGATGACGATGCGACGGTGGTGCGTAATTACTGGCGATGGCGCCAGCGATGGACATGCCGGCGTCGATGTTGGCGGTAGCTGGGATGACGCTGACGCTGGCGATGATGAAGGCGATGGAAATAGCTCCAAACTGGCACTATTGAAGCACACATTGTGCCTACAGCCGTTTTGACGTGCGCGGGCAGGGATGCGGGCGCGTGGCCAGCACGATATGATTTGACATACCTGTCGAGGGCGCGGCTGTTTTCGAACGATTGCGACATGCGCGCGCGCGTGGCCCGCCGAGTATCAGTTCAGTGATGGTTAAACAACAGTTGTATCGTTTCATGTGGGTGTCTGTTCACAGCCATCCTGTGGTGTTGGGTCCTCGTTTTGAAGAGACAGCGCCCCGCGTTCCTTCCCCCTCCCGCTGTCCCCTCCTTCCTCCTCGCATCATCGTCATCATCAGCATCATCATCGCCCTCACGAGGATCGTGGCCCCATAGGAGCTCCACCGAAGGCGCCAGTAGCAAAGTGCGCATGGCGGCCTCGGGCCATTTCGGCACACCCCTCACGAGGGCCGTGGCCCCATAGGAGCTCCACCGAAGGCGCCAGTAGCAAAGTGCGCATGGCGGCCTCGGGCCATTTCGGCACACCCCTCACGAGGGCCGTGGCCCCATAGGAGCTCCACCGAAGGCGCCAATAGCAAAGTGCGCATGGCGGCCTCGGGCCATTTCGGCACACCCCTTCACGAGGATCGTGGCCACATAGGAGCTCCACCGAAGGCGCCAGTAGCAAAGTGCGCATGGCGGCCTCGGGCCATTTCGGTACACCCCTCACGAGGATCGTGGCCCCATAGGGTGTTCCACCGAAGGCCCCCAGTGGCAGGGTTCGCACGGCGGCCTCGGGCCATTTCGGCACACCCCTCCCAAGGATCGTGGCCCCATAGGAACTCCACCGAAGGCCCCCAGTGGAAGGGTTCCCATGGAGGCCCCGGGCCATTTCGGCACACCTTCATGAGGTTCGTGGCCCCATAGTTGTGCTGATTCAACAACCGCGCCTGGGCGTCGTACTCCGCGCCCTCGACGTGCACCGACAACTCCTCCCTCATGGCGCTCAAAACTCTCTCTGTTTCTGCTCCTCGGTCAGAGGGACGCCGTCCTTGTCGTCGTCGGCGCCCGCGAGGACGGCCACGAACGCGTTCCTGAGCATGTCGGGCTCCGGCGGGAAGCCGTGGCCACATAGGGAGCGCGGGCGAAGATGGTATTCACAATTGCGGTATTCACAATTGCATATGGTTGGGTCCTTCGCCAAACGATTTTTTGTTTAGCTGCAACCTTTGATCAAAACATCAGTCTGTAATTTCTTTGGGGGGAAAGTTGATATGTAAGCGAGCGTGGGCCCAAAGCAGTGTGAATCTAGCAATATGTGTCGTGCATTATGTTTTTTGTGGGTCGATCTATGTGGCACAATCCATATGGTGCAACTTGTGCGGGACATGTGTGCGTAGGGCAATCTACGTGGTGCATCTTTGTACATTACATGTGCCGCATTATTTGTGGGGCAATGTATTTGGTGCGCAATCTAGGTTGTACAATGTATGTGGTACAATTTGTGTGGTGCAATCTCCGTGGCGCAACCTATGCAATCGATGCTGCGCAATCTACGTTATGCCAGGTTTTTAATGCAATCTGTTTGGGGCAATGTATGTGGTACAAACTGTGTGGCGCAGTAGTTGTTGCGGCGACGACGCGGTGAAGGGGCGGCGGCGGCGAGCACGGGGCCGCCAGACCGAACTGCAGGCCCTGACAATGGGCGGCGACGGGGCGTCGATGGGGCGGCAACGGCGAGAATGGAGCCGTCAAATCGACCCGGAGGCCGAGTCAATGGGCGGCGAAGACGTGGCGACGGGGAGTCGACGGAGAGAACGGGGCCGCCAGACCGGCCCACAGGCCCACACGACGTGCGGCGACGGGGCGGCGACGGCGGGAATGGGGCCGCCAGACCGATCCGCAGGCCCAGACGACGGGCGGCGACGAAGCTCCGACGACGATGGCGAGAACGGGGCCGCCAGACCGACCCGCAGCCCCACTTCCGTAGTCCATTAGTAAGAACCTCCAGGGGCAAGCATTGGATTGGAAATTCGTTCGTTGCAGAGTTGAAAGTGGACATGCCTTGTACGTGTACAAATCTGGTAACAATGTCGACGCGCGCGCGTGGACATGCGCATGAGTTTTACCTTGTGTTATTTGACGGGGGGTGCTACAAAATTCGCTTGGTAGATCAACGAGCGTGCCCCGCATACAATCAAATTGTTCGACAGGGAATGTGCGGTCCCAGATGCAGATTTGAACGATCGTGCAGCCAGGTCTGCACACAAAACGAGAAGCCAAACGGATAAGCCCGGTTCCGGCCCGGGGGCACAGCCTCGCCTCGCAGAGGACAACGGGGCCCCGCGCGACTGCCCACGGGCGGCGACCGGGCGACACTGCGGCAGACCCAGCCCGCGCACGGGGCACCCACGAGGCGCCCACGGGCGGGCACCCAGCGGGCACCGGCCAGGACCCTCCGCACACCCATCCCGTCCCCCAGGGAAGACACGCGGGAACCCCCAAGTGCAAGCACGGTTTACGGAATCCTCGGCCCGAAAGCGCGCGTGGCTTGGTGGCCGTGGAAGGCGCCTCCTGGGGGCCTTGGTGGCAGAGGCGCCAGGATGCTCCTCTCGGCCCTGCCGGGGGCCGGGCCCCAGGAGCGCAACTCGCCCTCGACCCCGGGCTCCCCGTGGTGCGTCGCCGAGGAGGGGCCCTGCTGAGGAGGGAGAGGAGGAGAAGGAAGAGGAGGAGGATGAGGAGGAGGAGGAGGAGGAGGAGGAAAAGGGAGAAGTATTTGGAATGAGGAGGAGGGGGAGAAGGAGAAACGCCATCATTTATTGTTTGACATTCTCTTCGGGGGGCACTGAGCGCAGCAGCCGGATCAGCCAGCAAGTGACCCCTTGGGTCGGCCAGACGGCTCCACCGAACCCTACCCCCGAGGGAGGAGGGGAAGAGGAAGGGGAGACCGATTAGAAGAGGGAGCGAAGGAGAGAAATAGCTACCCTGGCAATCTGGGCTTATAAGGCTTATAAGAAGAAGGAGGAGGACGACGAAGAAGAGAAAGCGAGTGAAGAGGAGGACGTGGATTGGATACTTCGAGCGGGCAAGGTTCAGCCTTCCACTCACGAAGGGCAAAGGACCCTGCACCGCTCAGCGGCACAGGGATCCCCACGAACCAACCTGCCAGAAAACCCGACCTCCGAGAGAGACGATGCCACCCCAGCGGCCCAACAACGCTACGTGGCGACCCTAGTGCGAGGAGGATGAAGTGGAGAAGGATGAGGAGGAAGTGGAGGAGGAGGAGGAGGAGGAGGAGGAGGAGGAGGGGGGGAGGAGGGGGGAGGAGGGGGGAGGGAGGAGGGGAGGAGGGAGGAGGAGGAGGGAGGAGAGGAGGAGGAGGAGGAGGACGTAGAGCTCGTCCCCGCCCGACAGGCCGGGTCTGTCAGACATCCGAAGGGCTGCGCCCTTCGCTCGCGGCCTCGCAGGCCGAGCCAGCAAGTGTATTCCCCTCGTTTCGCGCGCCGCGCGTCCAGGGCGCGTAAAGCATTGGCGTTGCGCCCACGCGTTCCCTCTCCTCCTCTTCTCCTCGCCTTTCCCATCTCCCCCCCCCCCTCCGCCTCGATTTCTCTTCCTCGCCCTCCGCTTCCACTTCCATTTCCTCCTGGGCTGCCCGCGGGGCCGCGCAGCCGGCATGCGTCGCTCTCCACCTCGCGGAACCAGGCCTTCACCTGGAGCAAGAGCTTGTTCTCCATGCTCTGCTCCTGCCCGGTCTTGCGGCTCCTGGGGGGGGCCTCGCCAGCCCTGCCAGCGGCGGGACCTTGGGAGCCCAGCGCGAGTTGCATGGCCGAATATCAGCTGGAAGTCGTCGGGCAGGAGGGGGACGATGTGTTGGTCACGGATATGTCTGTGCAACGCCTGCAGGGTTTGAGCCTCCTGGCCACATACGCCGCACTCGATGGGATCGATCTCGATTGGGGCACGGTGCGTGACGCTCTGGTCCAGGATGCATCGTCCGTGTCTGAGGGCCCATAGCGTGTGACCCTATGCGGTGGCGCGATCGGAAAAGGTGCTGTGGCATATGACGCAGACGTTTGTGAGCGTACCGCAAAATAACGTGCGCTGAGCTCCGTGAGTCCCCCCCCCTTCTTTTGAAGACAATGCTGCAACATCGACCTTTTGGTAGCGAATGCTTCGAGACAGCGCGTACCATCTTCTAAGAAGGCTCGGCAACGCCAGGTGAGGGGAGGGGCGTCGGCCTGGGCTGGAGGCGTGCCGGGCTGCATGCTGGCAGGTGCCTGCGGTGGCGGCACTGCGACATAGAAGAACTTCGACTCGAACGTCTTCGTGTTGAACTTGATAAATTCTTCGCGGATGACGGTGAAGGGTGCAAGCACGTTGGTCTGAGTCGCCGCCCAGACGGCCTCTCCCTCCTCGGTCGTGCCCACGACCCGCATATCGTCGTAGAACTGTCGGATCCATGGGTTGGCCTCAGGGGTGGGCCTGCCGTCGGCGATTTTCGCGACAGTGTCGAAGTTGACGGTGCCGAAGACACAGGTGAGAAGCTGCTGGTTCTCGGATTGGTGCTGGGCGACGGATTGCCACCACTTGATGCGCCTCGGGCGCAGGCGGTCGAAGCAAGGCATGATCCGGAGGCGTTGGAACACCTGCTTGTTGGGAAGGGTGCGCACGTGGTCGTCGGAGTATGTGGCCGCCGTTTCCTGGAGGGGGACACGCGCGTATGTGGAGAGCTGGATGTCGAGTGCGTGAACGTCTGGCGGAGCCAGCGGGTCGCCCCTGGAGCCGATGAAAGCATGATAATGACGATGATGCTGATGCTGATGATGATGATGACGACGACGAGGATGATGACGACGATGATGATGATGATGATGATGCTGATGATGATGCTGATGATGATGACGACGAGGATGATGACGACGAGGATGATGATGATGATGATGATGACGAGGATGATGATGATGACGACGAGGATGATGACGATGATGATGACGACGAGAATGATGATGATGACGACGAGGATGATGTCGACGATGATGATGATGATGATGATGATGATGATGCTGGTGATGGTGATGGTGATGGTGATGGTGATGGTGGTGGTGGTGGTGGTTGTGGTGGTGGTGATGATGATGATGATGGTGGTTGTGGTGGTGGTGGTGATGACGATGATGATGATGATGATGATGCTGATGATGATGCTGATGATGATGACGACGAAGATGATGACGACGAGGATGATGATGATGATGATGATGATGATGATGATGATGATGACGAGGATGATGATGATGACGACGAGGATGATGACGATGATGATGACGACGAGAATGATGATGATGACGACGAGGATGATGTCGACGATGATGATGATGATGATGATGATGATGATGCTGGTGATGGTGATGGTGATGGTGATGGTGATGGTGGTGGTGGTGGTGGTTGTGGTGGTGGGTGATGATGATGATGATGGTGGTTGTGGTGGTGGTGGTGGTGATGATGATGATGATGATGATGATGATGGTGGTTGTGGTGGTGGTGGTGGTGATGCTGATGATGATGCTAATGATGATGGTGGTGGTGATGGTGGTGATGATGGTGGTGACGTTGATGTTGATGTGCGGTGGGGGGGTCCTGCTGATGTTCCTGCGCGGGGTGACCAGAGAAAACAAGAACCCCATTTAGGATGCAGGGACCTATAAGGCAGCAGCCCAGCAGGAACTTTCAGAGCCTTACGCCAACAATGTGGGCCGGCGGATTTTCAGAAAATGCACGCCCACCGCCCTTGCGCACCGCGGCCGCCGGGACCAAATGATCCCGAGTCTTTGAGTATCCCGCTTCGCCGAGCCC